AGATCTCGAAATAGCTCGACAAAATGTAAACAAATGTTTCGCAAGCTTAAGCAAATGTTTCGCAAAGTAATTGTAACTATGAAATTTTTAGTTTTCTTTTTTTTTCTTGAATTTTTATTTTTTCAGTTTATTACTAAAAAATTATGTTTGAGTATGGAGTGCTTATCTCATTAACAAATTTAAATCACATGAATAATGTTTCTTTATATTTGACATGCTGCACCGGACTTCATTGGACTTCACTGGACTTCATTGGACTTTATCAGACTTCGAGAAATTCCTCGGACTTCATCAGACTTCTGACAGATTGTACATCGGAATTCAAGAGCGGTTACCTCCTCGAGTATTATCCAATCATGCGCGGATTGCCGGATTTACCCAATAGATAAAATTTACCAAAAGGTAGAACAATCGTGTTTTAGACACTTTATCATAACGAATTTGTTATACGAAAATTGACACTAACGTGCAACTACGTGTATCAGGTTGCGTGAGATATTGGTATGGTAATATATAAACTATTCTATTATAGTCAGCAACACATAATATTTACGAAATATTTACAAAATATTTATAAATATACTAATAAGATTTATTTTAAATATTTTGTAAATATTTTTGTGGTCTTGGATTGCACAGATCATAAACATTTATTGTAAATGTTACAGTAAATGCTACGAAAATACTTAATGAGACATTATATCCTTATGAAAAAGAACTACTGCTGACTACACAAAACTATTATTGATAATCACATAGCAATATTACAAGATATCACAGAAAATGTTACAGGAAATGTTACAAATCACATGATATATTACTGAAAATTACAAAGCAATATCAATGATTATTTCGAACCACTGCCGCAATAATGCTGTAAATTACTGCCTACACAGTAATGCCAGGAATACATGCGCATTTATTGCTGTGTTTAGCAGACTCAATAGTTGAGTGAATGCTCGCTGTTATTTATGAACTTTTCTAGATCATCCAAACAGATTTTTAGATCTAGAAAAATACATACGTAGCAGTGAACGCTCAACTATTGAATCTATTGAATACCTGTTCTGTGTCTGCTTCCTAATTTAAATATATTTTATATGATATCTTTGAAGTAAATGACAAATGGTTCAAAAATCTCAGCAATGCTATTATACCATAAGAAGTCAAAGTATTGTTAGGTGAGAATTTCTGCAAGACCTTTACGTTGAGTCGCGAGAAAACGCTTACATGTAAGTTGATATAATCAAGATTTAGACAAATGATTTTAATAATTATCTAATTTTTCGTTTTCGTGATTCTTTTGAATGACTACACAGCAAATCTGACAATCTGATGAGCGATGTGATTCTACTTAGTGACGCGAGTAGATCGAACATCTACTGTTAGACACAATTGCTTTGTTTGTACGTCATTCCGAATCTTCGCTCAACGTTCGTATACACATCATTCGCAGATCAATATAAATCTTTCTTTTAAAACTTTTAATCTTAGTTTCATAAACTCAATATTGTTTGTGCACGTCATGCGCTGAGTGATGCACTATCGTGTGGTCCATACAAGCTATAAAACTTTTATATTAAGGAAACATTTACGTCAGGTGACAGCTTTACTAATTGACAAAATATAAGTTTTTTTTCCGATTTTAGTATAAAATCTGTTGCAGCACTCCCTTTACGTCTACTTTAATCCTATAAAAGAAATTTTTATTCCGTTAATAAATTCGGAGATTTATATCGATCTGCGAAATATCGACAATTTGGCACTTCAGCATCTCCTTAAAAGGGGATTTTAAATTGAAGGCCGAACTTGATCAAGGTTGATAGTGCAGACTTTTTAAATTTAAAATTCGATAATACTGACATCTTTGATTAATTTCTAACATTATATTATTCTGTCATCATTGTATTGTTCTATCTCACTCAACGCATACATTTGTCCTTATGTAACATATTCTAGCGTCATCTATCGCAAAACCACGCAACTACTACTACACGGAATTTCAACTCTATTGGCATCCTAGACTTTACAAAGCATTTGTATACGTATTTTTTATTTGGTGAAAATACTTTTCTTCTAGACTTTCAATTTTAGTTCTACAAAATTCGGTATCGTTCGTTCCAGTAATGTGAGTTAGTTGTACGTCAAGATATGGACTATAAAACTCTTGCATCAAATAAATATATATCTGAGGTGACAGCTGTTCCAAAAGTAAGTAAATTTTTTAACTCTTTTTCGATTTTTTTCCTATTTGTGCATACTTTAATTTTGTAATCCGTAACAATTTTGCAATCCGTAAATCCAATTCGGAGATTTTTCACCAAATAGAAATGATGATAAAGTAGGACGACTTTAGGATTTCCTTAAGGGATTCCTAAAGTCGTCTGTATTACGACTAAACGCAATAATTTTTATATAACAATTATACTTTTTTCTTTGTTTATAAATTTGAAAATCATTTTCCAGGATTAAAGCATATGCCTTAATACATATCTGTAAGGTGGAATTTATGTCGAGAGCGACAAAAAATTATTTAAATTGTGATCTTCTTTACCATTTCAGTCCAATGGCGTTAGAGCTCAATATCGTAACAACATTTGTTTGATATAAAAGCTTCGCAATTTGTATTTACGAAATTACCTACAATTTATTATTCTTTAGATTATAGAATTTACGTAATGAATTCGTAACTTGTTATTCATATTTCTTCGGAAAAGAACTTCTCATAATTAGATTGAATTATATTATTAAATAATTGGATAAATATTTCGGAAAATTTCTTTTCATATATGGGTATAACCTTATCAATAATTATTTGTTTATTATTATTTACAATATTATTAATAATTTCATGAAATTGAACTAATTCTATTTCGTTTTCATCGAACTTATAGTCAAAATCTTTAAAGTTAATATTCGTGTTTGCTTTTGATGCGTATATACGTTTCTTGCTATTTTTAGTTATCACATTCAAGTCCAAACTTTCTTGAAGCTTTATATTATCTGAAAAAAAACCATATATTTTAATAATTTCAATAAAACTGAATTTTTACTTTTTCGTGCTAAATTTCATTAAATTTCATTGTTTTATGTTAATATAAAATTCATTATTTTACATACTCGTTAGAATTTGACATTTTCCTTTGTGAACGATTGGTACTAACAGATGTACGTCCAAAACATACGACGAGGTTACATTCAGGTTATATGCAATATCAAAATTGAACTGAAGTTTATCGAGATCTGCATGAATGGAGTTTATAACAAAATCGCAAAATGTATAACTTTTTACTTTTTCAAGATACAATTTGATACCAGGTCCGTCGAAAATAACTATTTTGTCAATAATGAATGGCTCAAGTTGTATAAATTTATATTCCGGAGATCTTTTGCAAATTTCATCCCTTATATTATTTATGTTATCCTTGATGCACTGATCATAGTTGAGATTGTTGCGATCACATGAATGTAGGGCACTGTAAAATTATTTGTTTTAATTTAGAATTT